GTCAAATAGGTTTGCTACGAGAAAATAAGTAGTAAACTTAGGATTATACAGGGTTAATCGAAAAGTATTATTGTGCGAAAACGGGGCAAAGGTTAAACTATTCTCATTAAATTTTCCTAAAATAAAATAAAGTAATAAGTCTTAGACAACTCCTCGTTAGCTCCATACTCTAACCAGGTCAAATTTGGAAAGGCTGGTAGCTCCGTTACAATTAGGAAGACCTGTAAATTTAATAAACAATCCTTGAAAGCCTTAGAAATTTACCAACAACAAACAAAAACAAATTGAATGAAAATACGAAGTAATAAATAATAAAGACGAGGATCGAGGTTAAGCTTACTTCAAATCTTAATTGCAAAGTTTCTGCCCCGGAAACTTTTGTTAAAACCTTTTCTACTTGATCAAGAACAATATGGTCTAAACAGAGATCTGCTTCAATGAGTGAAGTCATATTTCCAATGTCAATTGATGATAACAAAAACTCATGAAGACACAGGTATGCAAGGTATGATGTTTCTATAACGACACAAGCCTGCTCCAACCCATGAATGGTACAAGTATTCTTAATTAATAAAGTAGAGCATTGAGGTCAATTCAACCTATTCCATGATTCCTTTTTTTCAAAAAAAAAAAAAAAAAAAAAAACCTAGTTGGTTACAAACTTACAATTGCTATTATGGATTTTAAAATTCTTTTAACTTCAGCCTCCTTAGTTCCTTCCGCCTCCCATCACTTGCCGCTATTTTAAGCATGAGAGTCTTGCTCTACCAAGTTCGGCTAGAATTGCAAATTACCTATAAATCTTTAATGACTTATTCTCTCCCATCCTCTATCCATGGGTAATAGTGAACCAATTTGTTTACACCAGAACCAAGTCTAGCCATATAAAATGGGATTTGTTAAACATCGCCCGCAAATCTCCACATAAAGCCCACAAATTAGACATGGTTTGACAATTTTGCCCATTTCTAAAATCGTACCCAAAGTGAACAAATCTCGATCTAACAAATGTGGAGTCGTATTGGGTTGCCCAGGGAGGCCGGAGAGGCGAGGGTCGCCGGAGATACGTCGTCTTCGACGGAAAACGAGGTGGTGCCTAGTTTGGACGCCGGAACCATGGCAAGGACGTCCAGGCAAGGCGCCACAACCAGTGCACTGGCGTCCAGGCCAGACGCCACAACCAGTGCACTGGCGTCTAGCCCAGGCGCCTCAACCAGTGCACTGGCGTCCAGGCCAGGCGCCACCACCAGTGCACTGGCGTCTGGTTTGGACGTCGCCCTTACTTTTTAATTTTTTTTTTTTTTGCCTTTTTTTTTTTAAATTATGTTTATTAAATTTATGTTTTGATTTAGGATGTGGAAATTTATGTTTTTTAGTTGATTTTATAAAAAATATATATACTAGACTTATAAAAAATAACACATAAAATTAATAATTATTAAAAAAAAAAATCAAACACATTAAAAAAAAAATTAGAAAATTTTTCTGATTTTCCAAAAAAAAAAAAAATAAAAAAAAAAAAAATTTAAGGCAGCTGGGGCGCCTGGCCAGGACGGCCCGTGGATGGTGGTGGCGCCAGGTCCGGCAGCCACGTCCACCGGCCTGGCGTCTGGGCAGGACGCCCATCCACAGTGACTAGCGCCTGTCCCAAACGCTACTCACCGTGGCTGGGCGTCCTGCCCAGACGCCAGGCCGGTGGACGTGGCTGACGGACCTGGCGCCACCACCACCTTGCCGCCACGAGCCACCACTACCTTGCCGCCACGAGCCAACCACCTTGCCGCCACGAGCCTCGACATCCCCGTACTTTGATTTTTATTGAGGTTGTGTTTTTTTTAAGGTCAAGGGCAATATTGTAACTTCAATATAAGTTTGTGGGCTTTATGTGGAGATTTGCGGGCGATGTTTAGCAATCCACTATAAAATTTCCATCCAACAAAACAAAATCTAAGTTAACCAAATACTTAACTAGTAACTAGGGAGCGGGTTTTCCCTTCGTGTTTGCATCCAAACAAACCCGCAAACCAAATACTTCCTAAGAATTTATTTATCCATCTTTCATTCACCTCACACCATTTCCTATCTCCACAAATTAGTTTTTAGGACTTTTCCTTAAGCAATAAAATCAGCTAATTATAAGATTTCAACAGCAGCAACAAAAGATTAAAAATAAAAAAAGTTAATTTAGTCAATTCGCCTTATGAAAACCTATTCATACTATGCAAAACCACTATCAAATTCCAATAAAAATTTAACAAATTTAGCTTATGAAAGCATCAAAAGTACTGAGAAAATAGATAATTAACATAATTTAGCTAAATTTGATATTCCCAACAAAAAAATAATTAGGGTTTAGCAAAAGCTTGTTACTCCATTGAATTTTTAAAGCATATTAGAATTTTGATAAAGATTAATTAGGGCTAATTAGAAGAGAAATTCTGAGGCTCTAGGAACTTTGGTCCAAATGGACTCTAGGGAAGGGTGGGCCCCACCTATGTGTGCAATCAACAATTTAAAAGCTTTAAAAAAAAAAGGAGGACAATAATGTTGGTCTTGTGTGTCATATTTTGTCCCAAAATTTTCTCATTCTTCCCCCCAATTCACAAAATTTTTGATTCCCAAATTTTTTTTTTTGCAAACGATAAAAATCAGCAAAATAATTTGGTTTCCCATTAAATTCCTTCTAATTCATTGTTAGGAGTTATGTAATTTTAATTTGCGAATCAAATCGGATATTCGTCAGCTGGGTGTTCGTTATTTTTTTGTTTTGGGAATTAGTTTTCTCAGATCTGGAAGGTGAAATAGTTTTGCGGTAGCTGTAAGTGAACGAAGATGCTTTGTGTTGATGGTTGGAGCGATGATGGTGGTAGTCGAATTGAAGAGGTTAGTGCACTTTATTTTTCAGAATTTTCCGGCTTCTAATTTTTTGTGGAGTTAAGTATAACTATCTCTGTTAATAATACGACTATACCTATTAATATTTATGTTGGTATGAGTTTACTAACTGTTGGTATATCTATCTCTGTTAATAATACCGATAAACAGATTAACATGTACGTCGATATGGGTTTACTTACTGTTGGTATATCCATCTCTGTTAATAATACTAATAAACAGATTAACATGTACGTTGGTATGGGTTTACTTAAATGGTTGGTATCGTCTAATGTTAAGCCTTCGTGTATTCTATGCAGCCACGTTGCGCATATCTTGGAATATTTGGAGAATGGAAACCTTTGATTATCCACCCTTTGACATTCGACTACTTGTAATGCACGGTAATAGTTAATTAAATTTTATGCTTCCGAATTATCGTGTAATTAGACTTTTTATGTTCTCTTGATTATGTTATTGTTTAAGACTTATTATGTAAGACTTATTATGTTATTGTGCAAGACTTATTATGTTATTGTGTAACACTTGTTATGTTGTCTTGATTTTATAAGAATTATTATAGTGGTTTACACTATTATGTTCAAAAATTGTACTACCCCGTCCCTGGTGGTATGGTATCAAAACCTATCTGATTAGTATGGTATCATGCCCTGTTGGTATATATTCCAACTTGCATGGTAGATAAGACATACCAATGGAATGTACTTTTTCTGAAGTAAATGAATTGATACTCCAGTCGACAATATTCAGGAGGGGGGTCCACCACTTTAATTTCGACAATTTACTCCGGCAGACAAGATCAGAACAGGGGATCCACCACTTAACTTTTTCTCTTCAATAAAAAAGACAATTACTTTTCTACCCTTCCCTAGAGTCCATTTGGACCAAAGTTCCTAGACCCCGAGAAATCCTCCTAATTAGAATTCGTTTGAGATTTAATTTGCAGAATTTCAGAAATTTCTTCATAATGAAAACCTAATTAAACGATCGGATTAATGTCAGAGGACATTCTGTGAGGTGGGATCCGGCTATGACATGTAAGTACACGTGTCATATAAATTTAATTGATCTTGGGTCCAGAACAAAGTTATTATAATCTAAACACGAGCATGTTTTAGCTCGAAACTTGGCTAGTTGGCTTGAACTAATCCGAATTTGTCGGTTGTTTTAGGAGTTCTAGTCCTGTTAGGTTAGTTGGTAGTTGTTTGATCAACTCATATTATTGTACTTTTTTTTTTCACATGTAGACAACTCGAATTAGAAATTAGGGAGTTTATTCATAGTTTAGTATTGGTACATGTACATACATAAAAATTATTTGACATGTGTTTTAAAGTGCTCTGATGACCAATTGATTGTTGGTGCAGTGATGATTGAGACTGCACTTGGTAGGGAGGATCGCGTGTTCAATCTCCCACAACAGCAATTGAGAGGGGACTGGAACCTAACCACCCATAACTGATTTCTGAATCCGGATTAGCCCAAAGGGTGAACCGGATGGAACACCAAAAAAAAAAAAAAGTGCTCCGGTGAAACTCAACTTGACCTATTGTTTGAATAGTTATTTCAATAATCACTATTATATCATTTTTAAATACGAAATAATATATTGTTTTTAGAATAAAAAATGTCTCTCGAATGGTTGTCAAATTTGTACATTTGCATAAATGAGCAAATTGTATAGCTAGTGAAATGATTTTACAGTTATTAGTCCTTATTACAATATTACCCTACGTTGACAATTTTGTTAGTCCAAGAGGAAAAAAAAAAAAAAATACTTTTTTGCTCATTTTTTTACCAGTAGCAAGTTTAATAATCAGTCGGTCATGATAGTGAACATCTTTCGTTGGGTATGAATGTATGATAGCGAACATGAGATTAAAGTTGTAGTGAGCATAGGATTCAAGCTGAACCGGTAAGAAAATCTCCAGTTCGCCTAATTTTTTTTGGTTAAAAAAAGTTATTGTTAATCTACTATATTTTTAATACGAAGTATATCCTTTTTAAGCTTTCTTATATATAGCCCTGAAGAATATGTATATCATTTTCGAATAATTCAAACAAAATGAGCCAAAAGATTCAATGTTTGCCGTGCAGAATGACCATTACAGGTCGGGTTTAGAAATTTTAATTTGACAAACAGCTGAAGATCTAGGAATATCTAATAACTCCTGAAAAACAGACAAAAGAGTAGTAACTTCAGAAATACAACAATCAAAGATGATTTTCATCTTCTTCAAAGCAGTTGCAGCCTTCAAAAAGTATGCTACAATGTCGAGTTCTTCTGGATTACCACAGAAGCTACAGATTTCAACACTTTCAAGGCATGGCAGATGCTCGGGTGCAAATTTGGGATCGAAGGGTAAATCCTCATTAAACTGATGAATAAAACCCACAGTTTTAAAACTAATACGAACCATGGCACAAAACATTAAAAAAAAAATAATAATAAAAAAAAATTAAAAAAAAAAAAAACAGAAGCTGTGAAAATCACATAAAACGTGCTTACATATAGGATAATCAACGATTTCAACTTCGGAGCGGAATGCAATGGCTTAGACAACTTCTTCCCAGCGTAAGACTTTAACCAGATCAAATTTGGAAAGACTGGTAGCTCTTTTAATATTAACAATGCCTGTAAAGTGTAAAACCAAAAACAATCCTTGCTAGCATTAGAAATTTATCAACACCAAACAACAACTAGCTGCATAAAGATAATACTTGTAAATAAAAAGATGATAGAGGTTAAGCTTACTTCAGGTCTTAAGTGCAAATATTTTACCCCAGAAACTTTTGTTAAAAGCTCCTCTACTTGAAAATCACTGACAAAAAAATTGACTTCTGCTTTATTGAGTGATCTCATCTCTCCAATGTCAACTGATACCCGATACTCATCAAGAACAAGGTATGTAAGGTTTGGTGTTTTAATAGCAATAGATACCTTCTCTTGAGAAGTACGAGTTTTTCTTATTAATGATTTTAGGGATAAGGACTCCACACAGATTGTAGCTTTGACATAACAGTTGATAATGTGCAGCTCCCTAAGAACAGGGCAGCTGGATGACAACTTTTTCATGAATTCATCACCAGGAAACTTTAGCACACTGAGATGGATGGTTTCCAGGTTTGGTAAATGGAAAGACACCGAGGCACTGATACTTATTGGCCCTTGCAGCTTTAAAACCGCGAGTTTGTCACTAAAAAGAAACCTTGGGAGGTAGACAACATGCATCCAACTAATAGTCAAGGACGATATCTATCTCATGCATTTCACGCCTTGATGCGGCAATCAGCCATGAATTGACATAAAAGGCATCAACATCCAAACAAAATCATTGGACATAGGATGCATCATTATGAAGAAGAACCTTATCCATGCAATTCTTGAAACATATCTTTTGCTCCAAAGAGAGCCGTCTAGACCTCGAAATATTAGTTACCTCAGTGAAGTCAAGAGCGGGAACTTTGGTCCATACATACTTCCATCTTCTAGACAATATGCTGGTCTTAACAGCAGACTTTGTAGTGAGAAAAGATAATATATAGCATAGAATTGTATCTGGTAGCTTACTGATGTGGTCTACTTTTTTTTTAATACACCTTCGGTTCCCTAGGCTTGACATTGAAACCTTATAGTACAACAAAAACCGAGTATAAATAAACAGGATTTAAAATACACCCTCCAAAGTAACAGCACTTACAACAATAAGTTGTAAACTTGAAACTGCATTAAAGCATTAAGTTTCCTGGGCTTGACATTGAAACCTTATAATACAACAATAACCGAGTATAAATAAACAAGAATTCAAAATACACCATCCAAAGGAACAGCAGTATAATTGAAACTGCATTAAAGCAAATAAATCAAAATGCATTATTGATAAGCACATAAGTCAAATTTACTCAAGGATACAAATGTTGCATTGAAACAAGATACTAACGGTGTGCTATTTTCAACTTTCTGGGTAATTCAGACAATTTAGGTTCATTACAATAAAGCTAAAAATTCAGCACATTTAAATTCAATTAAGTACAGTATATCAAAATTTAATTCAATTAAATAGTAACAGCTAAATTAAATATTTCCTATATCAAATTTTGGCAGATGAAGCAAACCAATTCCGACTACGAGTGATCATGAAGGTCATAAATTAGACCAAATATAGCTCAAACTAATGTGAGGACAACAAAAATGAGAAACCCAAAACCTCAGACATTGATTGACACACAATAAATTAAGGCCATTTTTTTTAATCTAAATTCAGTTTATCAGTTTCGATAACAGTTAGATTTAGACATAATCTGTCACTTCAACAATTTAGAGTTTGGACTTTGGACACCCTAAATCAATTTAGGCCAGCAAAGCAAAGCCACTACGACAAACAATGACTGTGTTCAAATCAACAATTTAGAGTTCGGACCTAAATCAATTTAGACATAATCTTGTTTAAAACCAAATCTAAAAAGAGGTCATAAATCAAAGTAAGCTGACATTCAAAAGACTCCACATCTTACAAATGGTGCAAAGATTGCGATTACAGATTAAATATATAATCTACCCCATAACTTTGCATAAAAATAAAACTCAAGAGCTAAAAAGCAGTTGAGTAAGCATTGAAATGCAATAAACAGATAGAACTTTTTGATATGCCTGTAACTTAAACGCCACATTTAGGAAAATTCTCAATATCTGTAAACTCCATTATTGACATTCTTTTAAAGATTCTACTAAATTCCTAGTACTTCTTAACAAGTTCAACATATTATGCAATTTTAAATTTTAATCATTTATGCTACAACTACATCAAAGCTTAAGAAAAACAATGAATAATAAAAATTAATATGTAGACATTCATTTTAAAACACACAAGTTCTTCAAGCCTCCAATTAACTAGCTCAATATCTTCGAAAGATCACATTAAAGAGCCTATGTGGTTTGAAGTCTTCGAACTTAAGAGGGAAATGCATTGAACTATGTAAGTGTATAAAAATGGGGTCGATTGTAATTAAGTTTGTAACCAATTCCAAGATTCTATTGCTAGGAAAATATCTAGTTGGTTAAAGTTGCTGTTTTGATTTGCTTTTCAAATCCTTCAGATTTCATTCTCCCTAGTCCCTTACCCCTATCCCAAAAAAATAAAAAATAAAAAATTTCCTCCCACCTCACTTTCCATCATGTACGCCATCTTACACCTGAAAGTCCTGTACCACCAAGTTTGTTTGCCTTTAATGACTTCTTTTCTCTCCTGTCTCCTCTCAATCCTAGAATAATGAGTGAACCAGGTCAAGTCCCGCCATATGTAAATTCAATTTTAACCCCTCCTATGCTGGATTTAGTCCGTATTTCTTTTGAAAAAATGCAAGCCTCGATCTTGTATTTACAACATCACAGCATGCAGACATTCAAAGAGCACCCGATCATCTAAGGATCGTGAGAATGTAAAAGTTATATATAGGCGTTAAATTTTACCCAAAAGTTAGAACTATGTATGCACACAAGCTAGGTTTTTAAAAGGTCAAACAGTAAACACTAAGGTGCAGCCTTTGAATGTCATAAGCATCAGAAAATCCCTGGGAACAAAAACCTATAGATCAACCTCTCTCCTTTTACTTATATACTATATATCTTGGACAGCTTTCTCCCTCGTCGTTTGGAAGAACTTGCAAGGGCCATCATGGAAGGCTGGCAGCAATATGACAGGAGTTTGGGTCTATGGTGGTAAATTGGCAATAACAAGTTATGGAGATTAAGTATCTGTCACCCCGAACCAAAGGGATTTGAATCCATGACACTATGGGAGTGCTGGACTTACAATGATAAGGATTGGCATTCACCAGAATCATCTTAATAATGGATTAAAAAGAAACCTAATTTAGACTTTAAGAGTGTGTTTGGCAGGGAGGAAATCATTTCTTAAGAAAAACGTTTTCCAATATTCTACATTGGTTTGTAAAGGGGTGGATAATAGTTTTCCCAAGGACGGAATTTTTTTTCCATTTTTCATTCGTAAATGCCACATTATCGGATTATCCTCTCTATTTGATACCTTCCACTTTCTCTCCTCCCTTCCATGAAATCCATCCCATCCCCTCCCCTCCCCTCCCTTTCCATCTTTCCCATCTCTCTGACTTTAAAACTACCGAGGAACCAAACAAAGGGTCATCAATTGCAATTTTTCCATATAAAACTTTTTGTCTGACAAAACGGAACCTAAGTGAGCCAAACACCTAATTAGTAGCTACTAGCTAGGGAGCGGGTTTTCCCCATCCCTGTCTGCACCATTAAAAGCTGCGAAGCGGTTGCTTCCTAAGAGTTTATCAAACCTTCACTAACTTGACAACATGTTCTTTCCCACAATCTTATTCCCTCCGTGACCATGATAATTAACACAGTTTAACTTTTTCAGTATTCATATACTAACTTTAACCATAGTTTAATACCGAGTAGGGAGCAGATATTAATGCAAAGTTTAACAATATTAACTTTTTCTTTAAAAAAAATATTAATGTATAAACTATAAAGTATGCCAACAAACTACGGCTTAAGCATAGTAAATTTACTAACTTTGAGATTTCTGGATAGTAAATAAGCTTCAAATTACTCTTGCAATTTGTAAAATTTTCAATATTCTATAATTTTTCATACTTATACAGAACCAAAGTCAAATTCTCATTAACATATGAAATCATCCAAAAGTACTAGGAATATAGTTATTAACATGGAAATTTAAATTAACAAACTATAATTCAGCTAAATTTGATTTTTCGAACAAAAAATCAACATGAAAAGTTAGTTAGGTAATAATGCTTACATATTATAAAGCTTAAACTAGGGTTTAGTAAACATACCGAAAACAGAAAATTTTGATATCTTCAGAAATTGATGAAGATTAACTAGGGCTAAACAGAATTCGTTGGAGATAATTTGCAGAATATCCGAATTTTGTTAGGGATAAAAACCTAATCAATTCAAGTTTTATAATTGTTCGTATGCGCATGTCAGGGACTTATTGTGGAGAGTGGCGCGAAAGATGGGCATGGGCATGGGCATGGGCCGAGTGGGTAGGCCCATGTACTGTGCCTCGTGCTCAAGTGGGTCGTATCTTAGATGGACCATGAAATAGTCATGCCAAGACCAGGCTTATGTTGATCTTTTATAAACGAAATCAATGCACAGTTCAAGCCACGTGCCAAATCATGTCGTGTTGGTGAATTCCTTAATACGGAGTAATTTTTATATCTCTGATTGATTAAATTGGTAAAAAAAAATAAGCAGTTCGACTCGGATTTGTACCAAATCTTGAAAATGAAGCTCATGCACAAGCCATGGCCTATCACGTGAGCCTCTCGTGGCGTATTGGGCTTGCGACGGGCTCATGCCAAATTGGGCCTTTTGTGTTAGCCCAGGCCCAACCCATTTCCATCTGAGTGGATGTGGTGCTGGGAATAACAGACCATGCCATTAAATAATATGTATGGTATGATACTCTAATAAATGTCGTTGATATTTAAGACTTGTGTAGTTTGCCTTATTTTTACTTATCTAACTTGATTTGATTTGATATGATTGTTTGATTTGACCAAACTTTAATCTTATGTGTAAAAAAAATATTAAGTGGGTCTTGTTCGATTCGTATAAATGTGTTTTTTTTATTAATATGTAATCTTCATAATTTTTCATTACGAAATTAAAGATATTTAGTGATAAAAAAAATGCACCTAAAACGAGCGATGATATAATTAATCCTAACTTATTTTTCTTTTCTTATCTGATCTGAACTTAAATTTTCTAAAGTAAAATAAAATAAACTAAACATGGCCTTAATTAACACTTCCTTTGTTTTTGTTTTAATGTAACAATTTGATCTTGCAATTAAGTAGTGCCAAAGAATGAAAAAACTCTCGTTGTCATACATGCATATGATTACATTTAAAATTAAAAATTATAAGAACTTGCATGTATATTATATTCAGCACATTAGTATAATTGTATATCATAATATATATACACACACTTGTAATTTGTGATGTGTTAAGTCTTCAATTCCATCAAAAACGTATCAGAAATTTGGTCTGGTAATAATTCACTATCACTTAAAAAAAAGGTATAAAATTAAATTAATCTAGTGATCAATACACTATCAATCGATATGCCTAAATTAAATTTGACAAGTGATTTTACTTTTTCGATGCCTAGAATATGATTAACTCATCCAATATCAATTTAATCAC